CTCAGCCACCATGTCCCTGGGGAGTCACTCAGCCTGGCACTGCAGCTTACCCATGGGGGGAGGGAGCAGGCAGGGGGAGTGATAGGGACACTTCTCATAAGAGTTACAGCAGCTACCATTTATGGAGCACCCATCATGAGCCCAGTGTTTTATGTATCGTCTCCCATTTCAATACATCTGAAGGAGGCATGACATGTCGTTGTGTAAAGCCTTCTGTGACTCCCAAGAAGACCCAGCACCTGCATTTATCAGAGTCCTCCCACTGGCCAGGCACTGTCCTTTGTCTTGATCACAGACACTCTTAGAATTCTTACATTGTCTTGGGAGCTTGGTAATACAGTCACCTGCATTTCACAAATGAGGAGATTGAGACACAAGAGGGTTCATGCCATGCCCAAGGTCAAACTTCTAGGTGGTACTGCCATCACTGATGATGGTTCAGTACACAAGGCCATTGTCCTCCAAGTTGCTGTACACCTGCTGACACTTTGGCATCATAGGCCTGGACCCAAGTCCTCCCCTCCCCCACATCACCCTGCACACTCATCCCTGTCTGGCCTGTTTCTTTAACTGTAAAGTTATGGAGGTCCACTCTATCCCTGGAGATTAGAGATGCTGCATTTGAGAGACTGGTGAGATTGGGTGTGCTGTGGGTGCCCCATAGAAGTCCTTTCCTTTCCCTTCTGTATATGCAGAAAGCACTCAAGACCATGTCCTTGGTCCTTCGCAGGAGATGCCTGGACACCAGCATCGGGGATCAGGGCTCACCCCCTCCTCTTTCTCAGCTTCCCTAGGCAACTTGAACATGTTTGACATGGAGCTGAAGCTGCCAAAGAGAGGCGCATTGCAGGGCCAGCTTAGGAGACTCCATCTGGGAGGGGGACCCAGAGAGGGAAATGAGAAATGCAAAGGAGTGAAAAATAAATACATGTGTCTGTCTGGAATGATGGAGGGCCCCAGGCTGGAGGCGGGAGAGGCGGGCAGCAGGCTGGGCTTGCAGAATTGCTGCACTAGCACTTCCAGGCTCACTCATTAGCCAAGAAGTGAACTGGCCTCGCCTCCCAGCATGCCACGCTGCTGGCCCAGAGTGCCCAGCCCACCCTCAGGGAGGCCCCACCCAGCCCCGCCTGGCCCCCAGCAGGGCACCTAGTCCTGTCTCCTCCCTTTGGGTTATTACATCCTGAGCCTTTAAGATTCCCTTCAGAGCTTCTGCCTCACCCCCTTCTTTCTGCCAAGGTTCAGGTGGGCCAGGCAGTTCTGCAGGCCCCTCTGTCTGATCCCTCCCCCACCGGGTGCAGCCTCACATCCCGAACCCTGCTTTCGTCAAATTGAACATGATGTCAAATTAGAGCCATCTCTGGGACAGGCCGAGAGAAGCTCCCAGTTTAATGAGCCAGCGTCGAAAATCAATAACTTAATTGCCGCTGTTTGATGGACTTTTATCCAATTTATGCTCTCCCCGGCAGCCTACGTGCTGAGCGTGAAGAGCGGTGTGTGTGAGGCTGGAGGGGGCTGTCCTGCCAGGCACCCTGGGGAGGGGCATGGAGGCACCAGGCTGCAGCGTACCACCGTCCCCGGAGAACAAGTCACGGCCATCGTCCTGGCCAGGGGCCAAGAGACACTAGCCTCTGGGTCCCCATGAACTTAGCTGTCCCCTGGGCTGTCCTCTGCCACCCTGGTGGAGGCAGGACAGAGTGTTTGAGGGGCCTACAGGGGTTGGCAGGGATGCCTGGTTTGCAGGCTTGGCTCTAACTCTGTGATGACCTTCACCAACTACGATTGTTGCCACCACCTTGGAGAGACTGCCCTGAACCACTCTAGGCTGTTTTAAGTTCTCTCCTTCAACCTGGTGGCCAAGATTACTCCTGTTTTGCCAAAGGATAAATGAAGATTCAGATAGGCTGCCTTGCCCTGCCCGGGTCCTATAACTGAGAGCCAAGGGAGAGCTGAATGCAGATCTGACTCCATGGTTCCCCATTTGCCACCAGGAAGGCCCCCCTCATGAAGCCCACTGGGACTTAGTGTGGGATTGGCCCATGAAGGGCTGGCTTTGATGACCTCCAGAGGGGCTCATCTCCCAGCTCTCTGGGATGGAGAAAGGTGGGATGGACAAGCACAACAGCTCCAAATGACTGCTGTCCCGCTTGGTTCCCTGGGTCCAGGCACATCTGTGATGCAGGTGATGGCCTCGGATGCAGATGACCCCACTTACGGCAGCAGCGCCCGGCTGGTATACAGTGTGCTGGATGGCGAACGCCACTTCACTGTGGACCCCAAGACCGGTGAGAGGGGGGAACGGGGCTGAAGGGGTGGGACCGCTTGATGGGAAAGGCCTTGAGGGGGTGCTTGCAGGTCTAGGCAGTGGCATGGGACAGACCTGCACAACAGCACCAAGCCTTGCATCCTGCCCTGCAGGGGACTCCAGGGTCTCAGGCAGCCAGACAAGAAAAGGGAAGGACAGAGGAACAGAAAAATATGGAATAGGGGATCCTGCAAGACTAGCAGAGAAGCAAAAGTTCAGGGCAGCCCCTTGGGGGTCCTGTAAAGACCCCAGATATCTGAATCAGCTGTCCTATTTGTCCTTGGAGCCCTTACTAGGTACAGGTGTAAGTGCAGGCAGAAGGGGGGGCGCTCTTCAGCGGGTTGGAAATCTCTGTTCGCGAGGCTGTTGCTAAGGAGCAGATAGAGAACCGCTTAGAGACCATTTGGGAAGGGAGGCCTCTTGTTCGCTTCTTTGCCACTCCCCCCAACACACACTCCCTCACACACCACCATAGAGGGCTGTAGCATCCACAGCCCCCACTTCATTCCCTCTGGGTCAAGACTTGACCCGTCTCAGAGGATTCTTGAGTGAGCGCCAGCAAAGACAGAATGAAGAGATGGAGGCTTGGAGAGGTGAAGGCACTCACCCAAGGTCACACAGCTGAGAGAGCTTTGGATTCCAGCAGGGTGCGCTCACCACCCCTGGGATAGGCAGGAGACCTCAAACAGGACAACATGCAGGGGTAGAGGGCAGCCATAGGCTCGGGCCATCAGACCTCAAAGTTTTGGAGGCAGTAGCAGCAATCCCCAAGGACAGGTAGGTGTTGGGCAGATGGGGATTTCAGAGAAGGGCATTCCAGGCAGAGGGCATGGTGCAGGCTAGGGCTGGAGGAGGAGAGCTGCCTGAGGCACAAGGGGAATTGTGAGTGGGGATGCAGCCAGGCAGGTAGGGACCCGGCTGTGCCGGCATAAGCCAGCTGTGCAGCTTAGAATTTATTCTAAGGGCAGCGGTGGGGGTGGGAGGAGCTGATGGATTGGATCTGCGGGTTTTGTTTATGTGTTTGTCTTGCTTTGCTTGTGAGGAGGGGAAGATTTTAGTCTATAAGCACAGTTATAATTGTATTCTCTTACACATAATATCGTCATTATTTTTTCCTCCTTCCAAAGCAATACATGCTAGAAGACATTCAGATACTGAAGAAACATTAAAAAGAAAGTGCTTTCACTCCCTATCCTTGGTAACTGCCGCACCAAAGGTAGCCACTTGCTGGATATATCCTATGAGATGTTAGACTCACTCACTTGAAAAATATTAAGTCATTTTTTTTCAAAATAAATTATACATTTCAAGGTTCAAAATTCAAAAAGTTCAAACAAGTATTTAGTGGCAATTTCTTTCCCTCCCCAGTCCCTAAGCCATCCAGTCTCTGTCCCCAAGGCAACCAATGTAATTTTCTTGTGAATCATCCCAGAGCCATTCTATGCATGTACAAGAAAATAAGGCACATGTATTTGTTTTATCTTTTACACGAATGGTAGATATAAACACACACCTTACACATTGCCTGCCTCTTCGGCTTGACAGTACATCTTGAAGATTATTCTGTTTCAGCTCACAAAGAGCTTCCCCATTCTTTTATTTAATGCCCATTATGGATACAATAAAATTTATTTCCCCAGTCCCATGTTGATGGACATTTATGCTGCTGCTGATCCTTTACCGCAGTGAGCTACACTATAGCTAATAACCTCATCCATACATGATGCTGTGCTCACGCAAGTGTATTTACAGGATAATTTTCAGGAAGAAGAAAAGCTGGGTCAAAGACCACGTGCATTTGGAATAGGACAGATGATGCCAAAATCTACCCAATCCTACTCCCACCAGCCACAGATGAGAGTTTCTGTTTCCCCTCCTCCTCACCAACACTGCGGGTTCATTGATGACTTCTAAGCAGGGAAGTGACATGTTCGGGTTTTCATTTTAACAAGATCCCTCGGGCAGCTACTGTAGAGTTTGACTCAGAGGCAGGAATCGGAGGCAGGGAGACTCCAGAGCCCAGGGTGGCCAGCATGTAGCCCCAGAGGACAAAAAGCGAAAATCTGCATTCTTTCTCAGCGTCCATTTGGATTCTTTAATTTGCTTATCTAATTAGGAAGCCAGAGATGATGAGGAGTTGGGAATGAAGGTGTTCGAAGGTGCTAAGGAGAATAAGGAGTACAGTGAGACTCTGGAAAGGGCAAGCATTGGGCAGACTCGGTCCCCAAAGTTAAGTACCCCTGATTTCTCTCTCAGCCTAGACTTGCATATTCATCTATATGAGGGGCAGATCCTACAGACACAGAAGGAGGATCGTGAATTGCAAAACCTGGCTAGGAACAGAGGAATTAGCAATGCGTCCTAGAGTTTGGTGCAGGGCTAAGAAATCAAGCATTGAGTATACTGGCTTTACAGTGAGAGAAATCAGAGAAAGAAACATCTAGAACTTCCAGCAGGCCATCTGAAATATGGCCATGGAGTTGTGAAAATGGTTGGCACTGTTTAAGCTTTGGCTTCCTACATGAACAAGGGAGATAATAAAACCTCCCTCCTGTGACTGTAGAGGATTCAGTGGGAGAGTTTCTTCATCTCTCGGCTCCTCCACGCCTGGCTCTGTTCTAGGAGTGCAGGAGTGGACACATTCGAGACTATCCTCATGGAGTTCTTGAGAAAAGGAAGACCAAAAATAAAGGGACACACATCAAGTCAAGTAACAATGAGTACAAGTAAGAAACATCAAACAGAGTAAGGGAGAGAATTAGATTAAGAAATTAGGATAGGTTTCTGTGGAGGCAGCTTTGAGGTAGAGACCCAAAGACAGTGCAGGCAGGGGCCACAGGGCTTTCTGTAGGCCCAAGGAACAGAGGCCACATGGAGGGCTCAGCCCAGGAGTTGGTGTAGGGGATGGCAGTGGTAATGAAGCCATCCTCCAGCTACCAGATGGGACAGGGACCTTAGGGTAGGAAAAGCTTTCAGGAGGAGACGAAGAGAGAGAAATCAGTAAGGACTGAGTCCTGGAGGGCAGTAGGGGTGAACAGATGAAAGCCCCAACCCAAGACAGTTGGGAGGATGCCCAATTTCTAATGAGCACTGTAGAAGCACTGTACAGGGTGGGGAGGAGAGTGGCCAGTGAGAGGTCCTGGAACCCCACAGAGAAACAATTCCCCCAGCAACCAGAAAAGGGGCACCATGCTAGGCAGGGCGAGGACTTCAAATGGAATCTTTGTTCTAGGGTCCTCTACTCCTCAGTCTAAAGAGTCCTTTCTGACATTTGCTAGGAAGAACCAGACATTTCCTCCCCTTGCCCCCAGCCCCACTGCCAAGGCCGCTCTGGTACCATTTCCCAGCCCCAGCTCTATTTCTCCAGCTAGGAATATTCCGCTGATGCGGGTCTATATTTAGCAGCTGCTGGGAAGGTACAGTCTGTTCTCGCTGTGCAGATAGCAGGGAGCAGAACCGGAACGAGGCCTGAGAGGAAGGTGTGAGGGAGGGAGGAGGCGGGGCGCCACGAGGCCCAAGTGCCAGAGGAGGAATTAACTTGTATGTTTTAAAGGCCAGGCCTGCCAGCAAGCCCCCCACAGGGGTGACAGGGATGGCATTTATGGGCTAATGAGGAGTCACACGGGCTCCAGGGGCCCTTGTGCAGCATTTGGAGGGGCCAACAAGGGCGACAAGGACAACAGCGGGAACTAGGGGTGAGGGGTGAAGATGGGCCTGCAGGGAGTGAAGGCCAGGTTATAACTATCAGCCCCCGCCCACCACCCAGCAGGGATAGAAAGACTCTCAGCAACTTCAAGATCTCTGCTGAAAAAATTCTCATCCTGGCCAGAGACTGAAAGGAAATGAAAGTAGCATTCATTGAGCACCTACTAAGTGCCAGGGCCTGGGGTCAGGCTGATGAACTCGACAATCTTTGCCCTCACAGGGGCCAGAAATAGGCAATTCCACACAGTTTCAGGGGGACAACGGAAGGATGGTAGGAGTCCATATATTACTTTAGTGTTCTGTGCAAGGCCAGAAGATATACTGGTGAGCAATCCCAGCACGGATCTCTGCCCTTGGGGAACCTACTCATGAGATACTCAACCCAAGGCTTCAGGGAAGGGATTGGTCAGGTAGGGGCAAATTGCAAGACCTGCCTCTGGAAACTTGTCTCATCTAAGCCTCTTGATAACCACACAGTTGGGCTTGATAGCCACACAGCTGGACACCCCCATTTTACAGGATGGAAAACAGACTCAGACAGACTGAGCTTGCCCAAGGTCTGATGGCATGTACATGATGGGATTAGAACATGAACCCGTATCTGTCTGTCTGACTCCAGAGACCTTGTTCACCCTGCTCATATCTGATCCCGAGTATCCCCGGCACACAGTAGGTCTACAGGAAGCATCTAATGAATGAATAATGAAACAAGGGACAGAAAAGTTCAAGAACAACTTCATGGACTGACTCGAGATTTCTGTGTCCTAGACCCCTCAGGAGCCCAGTGGCCTTCGCCGTGCTTCTCAGAGTACCAGGAGGTAGAGAGAGGAGTACAGCATAGTAGGTGGGAAAGTACATCATTGATTTCTCCCCTCCCTCTGCACAGCCTCTGAGCACAGTCATCCCTCAGTACCTGTGGGAAGTTTGTCCCAGGACCCCCGCAGAGACAAAAATCCATGCAAGCTCAATTTCCTTACATAAAATGGCATAGCATTCCTTATATCCTACAATATCCCCTGATATACTTTCAATCATCTCTAGATTACTTACAAGACCTCAAATAAAGTAAATGCAGTGTAAAGAGCTTTTGGATCCTATTGTTCAGGAGATAATGACAAGAAAGGGCTGGGGAGATGGCTCAGTGGAATAAGTGCTTCCCTGGAAAGTGCAAGTGCCTGAGTTCAATCCCCAGTTCCGCCAAAAAAAATTTAGAAAAAAAAAAAGATAATGACAAGAAAAAAGAATCTATACATACATGGTCAGTACAGACACTTTTTTTCCTGAGTATTTGTGATCTGCAGTTTGTTGAATCTAAGGATGCAGATCAACCTACAGATACAAAACGTGCGATTGCAAAAGACCCACGGTAATGTAACTTGGCCACTCCCATCAAGAGGTGGAGGCTGTTTTCCTGCCCTTTGAAATAAACCTAACCTATGATTTGCTTTGGCCAGTAGAGTGTGGCCGAAATGATATTATGCAAATTTCAAGATTAAGTCTTCCAGGACCTTGCAGCTTTCACTCTTGCCGTAGTCCCCAGACTGCCAAGTAATAAAGCCCGTCTACTAGAGGATGAGAGACCTAGTGCACCCGAGCCCACTGCCAGGACTAGCCACCAGGGATGTGGATGAGGTCACCTCAGACCTTCAAACCCAACTGGCTAACCCAGTTAAGGCCAGACCAAACCAGTGGAGGAGCAGCCCCATCACTTGGTTTCTCTGTCAATTAGCTACACACCAAAAAATGCCCTAAATGTTGTGGCTCTAAACAACAATCTATTCTTTGTTACAATTCTGTGGGTTGGCTGGGCAGTGCTATTGTGGAGGCCATTTATTGGCTGTCAGGTTGCTGGGGGCCGACTTGCTGGGGACAGCTGCGTGCCCAGGCCGCTCTCTGTGTGTGGCCTTTCATCTGGGCTTCCTCGCTGCACAGTGATCTCAGGATTTCAGAGGACAGGCCCTGGCAAAGAAGCACATAGAAAGCCTCTGTTTTTGGTCACTGTGGCTGATGTCCCACCGGCCAAAGCGAGTCACGCAGCCAAGGTCAGATTCCGTGTGGGCGGGGAGGAGCCAAGGTTGTGAACACCGATAGATGTGGCTCAGCGGGAGCTCTTGCCATAGCAACCCACAGCGGCCTTAGACCTGGGATCAGGAACCAGAGGCAGTGCAGCCTCTGCAGTCCTCGGAGATGCCCGGATGGCACCTGCATCACACGCCGTGAGCCGTTATGGCCAGATTCTTAGAAGAGTGGTGTCCCCAGTTCTCTGGGGCTACAAGTGGCGGGGATAGCAGGGAGGCCAGCCACCTCGATGAAACGCTATGCCTGGGACCCCTGACCTCTGGTCTGGTGGCCCCGACGCTGTCCATCTGTCTGCCAGCTCTCCCCCCCCCAGCGTCTTCATCACTACTCCCAGCCCCACTCCTTCCCTGCTGTCTGCGCATGTCTGCCCATTCCGTCTCCGTTGCTCTTTGCCCCCTTTTCCTTCCTTCTCTCTTTCTGCAGATTTCTGTGTCTGTTGGTGTCTCTCTTACCGTTTTTTCCTGCATATCTTCCTGGCTGTGTCTCTCTTTCTTCCTTTTTCTCTTTTTCAGTCATGATAGGCCCCCTTCCCACTCCTTCCCCCTTACCTCTTCTTCCACCCTGGGCCCTTCCTCTCCCTCTGGGTCTTCTCTCTGTCCCTCTGCCCTGCCCCTGTCTTGTCTGTCACTGTGTCTCTCTTCTCTGTCTCCTTCTCCAGGGCTGCCTTTTTTTCCCTCTCTCTTTCTTTCTGTCCCACACATCTCTCTCCTCATTATGTTCTTGCTTTCCCTCCTACCTCCACGGCAGAGGATGTGGCAGACCTCCTCCCCAGTGCAGCCCTTGTGGTCCAGAGCTGCAAAGGCTCAGCCAGGAGGGCAGCAGAGGCCCAGAAGGGCACCTTTCCCTTCCCGTGTGTCTCGGGACAGCACTAGCGAGCAGCCAGGGGCTGACTACAGGATTGAGAAAACACCTTGTCTGATCAGCAGAGAGCAAGGAGGACACCCCAAAAAGTCATATCCCTCTGTCAGGGGCCTGGCTTCCCCCCTCACATCAAGAGCTATGAGGGAACGGGCCAGCCAGACAGCTCAGTGGATTAAACCACCTGCTTAGGCAGACACAAGGGCCAGGGCTTTGATCCCCGGCATGCCTTGCTGGCCCTGCCCCCAGGGCATGCTGAGACAGTGATTGAGATTGGGTGTGGAGATGCGCACCTGTAATCCCAGTGCTTGAGAGGCTGAAAAATAGGATTACTATGAGTCCAATTTGTGCAGTGAGTCCCTGTAGACCCTGTACTAAATATATTTAAAGAGAAGGAAAGAAAGAAGAAAGAAAGAAAGAAAGAAAGAAAGAAAGAAAGAAAGAAAGAAAGAAAGAAGAAAGAAAGAAAGAAGAAAGAAAGAAAGAAAGAAAG